TGGATGCGGAAGTGGAGAGTCGGATACTTGAGATTTTTGCACGGCCGGTATGAAGTAACATGTGCGCGTTCTTCTGCCACTCAGGAATGCACACAGCTGTCGCAACAGGATGCAAGCGTATGCAATACACGAACGGCTGGCGTGCCAAAACTGCCTGCTTGTGCCAAACTGCCTGCTTGTGCCTGCTGTGAGACTTGGATGCTGGACATTGTAAGTCGGAGTGCTGAACTGGTGTGCGCTGGAGGTCGATTCGTGGAGCTGGAAATGGAGAGTCGGATGTTAGAGGTTGGAGGTCACAATGTTGATCTGATGAACGTTGGAGGTCGATATGTGGAGGTGAAGGTGGAAAGTCGGATGCTGCAGGTGGGTGGTTGGAATGCTGACCCGGTGGGCGCTGGAGGTCGATGGGTGGAGGTGGAAGTGGAAAGTCGGATGCTAGAGGCTGGAGGTCGTAATGTTGAGCTGGTGGAGGTTGGGAGGTCGAAAGATGGAAGTGGAAGCGGGGAGTAGGAGGAGGAGGAGGAGGGGAGTAGGAGGAGGAGGAGGAGGAGGAGGAGGAGGAGGGGGAGGAGCAGGAGGAGGGGGCGGAGGAGCAGGAGCAGGAGGAGGAGGATGAAACTATTCCCCACCAAAAGGAGCAGGGGGGTGGGGTGGGTAAGCAAAACTAATAACCTTGAGAGGTTAGCGGGCGGGCTTGAGCACTCACCTCCCCTCTCGCCGTTGCCAAAATTCACGGCGGGTGAAAGAGGCCAGTCTTCAGCCTCCAGGTACTGGGTACCAAGCGGCCCTAAAGCCAAACATCCAGCCGACGTGGAGAAAAGCACGGCGGGCGATTCTTGGCCCAGACTCCATGCAAAAGGCTCAGGATGGAAAGATGGTCCCAGGGAAGTGGTCCAAACCTCTGGTATCCACGTTGCGGACAAATCACGAAGCCGGAGGTCTGGGTTAGCAGAGGGGGGCTAACGGGGGGCGAACGAGGGGTGCAGGAAAGGACCTCTCAAAAACTTCTGGGAGGGCCCTTGGAGGGCAGGACATCGGGCAGACGTGGAGAACTGTCTCTTATCTCCCCCGAAAACAAAGCATTACTCTTCGCACTGGCGCCGTCTGGGAATGGCTGGTGGTAGTTCTACCTCTCAGACGGCGCCGGCACAACTTTGCGGGCACCTCCCCGCATACCTCCTGCCCCGGACACGCCCGATATCGCTAGCGAAAGTAAAATCAGGGGGGCAGTCAACGGGAGCGCGAACGTAGGGTGCAGGAAACGAGCCCTCAGTGGAGCAATGAGATGGACAAAATGCTGGAAGGGTGCGCCTTCCTTCACCGCTCGTGGATTCCTAGCCGCCCGCCCCCGACGCCGACGCCGACGCCGACGCCGACGCCGACGACGACGACGACGACGACGACGCCGCCGCCGCCGCCGACGACGACGACGACGACGAGGAAGAGCGAGCCGTACACCTGGCGCTGGGGGCCCACGGCTGGCGCGGGCTCTGGCACGGAGATCGTCTGTGAGGGTGGGCCCGTACGCTCTGGGCACCGCGCGCAACGACTCTCCGCGGCGTCGATCGCCCACCGGGGCGCGCCGCCGTGCCCTCGGCCCTCGGCCCTCCCCTGACTACCTACCAGACCCCCCCACACTCAATCCGAGGACCCAAGTTTCGGGTGGGGGGGGTACGGGCTTCATGCTTTTCTTCTGCTGTTTCAGTTTGCCCCGCCACCCCCCCAATGGAAATGGAGGGCAAATCGTGGTCTTCAGGTTGGGTTGGGGTGGTTTGGTGAGCGGTGATCCCCTCTCCCTGCTGCGCCTCTGGCCGCTGACTCCCATGTCCAGCCGTGGGCCCCTGGGCGGCGAGAATGCTGCCCTGACCGGTGTCCGCCGGGACCGCTCTCCACGTATGCCCCCGGGGGGCCGTTGGGCGAAAACCCTCCCTGGAGGCCTGGAGAGAGCTACGCACAGTACGCATGTGATGTTTCCTGGTCTCCCGAATCCTCCGCGCGGCGGCGCCGTCGGGCACATCGCCGCTGCCACATGGCATGCGCGCTGCCTCCCACGGCTCCCACCATGGGTTAAGGGAGCCTCGAGCAAGAACGGCTCTCTCACGCCGTGTCAGCGCCAGAGCTGACGGCGGGAACCATGCGGCCGGAGAGCGACGTGGCCAGCGGCAGTGCGGACCTCGGAAAAAAATGTACCCGGTCATGCGACGTCTCGACTTCGTCATCACGGAGTCCCCAGCAGCCCAAGCCTCTTCCCCCGCGGCCGGTCTTGCATCCCGAACGTCGATTTCCACGGTCCCCGGGGCCCGGGGATGGGCCCCCCCTGGGGCCGCAGAAAACTGCCAAAAACCTCCCGCCCTGAGGTTTTTCGCGACGCGAGCATGCCTGGGGCGGCATTGCTCCCCTCAGACAAACGTCGAGCCTCCTGCGCAGAATTGGGCCAGGCATGTCCCCCTCACAGGCGGATGTTGGACGTAAGACAGACGACTGTCGAAGCACAAGCTCAAGAACAGCCAAGAATAGTCGAAACATCGTGCCCAGACTGTTCTCGACCATGTGTTTGGATACTCCAGATTTCGTAATAAAGGGAGGGGGGGTTCATTTCGGGGGGGGTCTCTTCCAGGCTATCTTGGAGGGCCTGGGGGGGTCTGGGGACGATGTTATGGAGGGTTCTCCCACGGGGGGGGGTCTGAAATGGCTTGTCTTGGAGGGTCCAGACCCCCTCCCTTTTATTACAAAATCTGGAGTACTCCTCATGTAGAGGGGCATGCCCGACGCAAGCGCAGGAGGCAGGGCACGGCACTGGGCAAGCAGGCCCGGCTCCAGAGGGGGGGCGGGGTGGACGTCGGACCGCGGGCGGCGGCCTCGCCCGGGAGCCTTGCCGACAGAGGTCCTCCTCCTCATCCTCCTCCTCCTCCTCCTCCTCCTCCTCCTCCTAGTCGCCCTGCTCCTGCTCCTCCTCCTCCTCCTCCTCCTCCTCCTCCTCCTCCTCCTCCTCCTCCTCCCTCCTCCTCCTCCTCCCTCCTCCTCTCCCTCCTCCTCTCCTCCTTCCTCCTCTTCCTCCTCCTCGTCCTCTTCCTCCTTCCTCCTCCTTCCTCCCTTCCTCCTCCTCCTCCTCCTCCTCCTTCTTTTTCTTATTATTATTCTTATTCTTCTCCTTCTTCTGTTTCTTCTTCTTCTTCTTATTCTTCTTCTTCTTCTTCTTCGTCTTCTCGTCCTCGTCCTCGCTCTCCATCCCCAGACCCCTCTCGAGTCACGGAACAAAAACTCACGACGGGAGGCTGCTCGCTATTTCCGGTCTTGGGGGCCCCCGCCGGGCCTCGGGGCGGGTGGACCTCGGACAGTGGGCGCTTGCCTCGCCCGGAAGCCTTGCCGACAGTGGACCTCCTCCTCCTCCTCCTCCTCCTCCTCCTCTCTCCTCCCTCCTCCTCCTCCTCTCCTCCTCCTCCTGTTCCTTCTTCTTCCTCGTACTCCCTCTCTTCCTCCTCCTCCTCCTCCTCCTCCTCCTCCTCCTCTTCTTCATACTCCTTCCTCCTCCTTCTCGTCCTCGTCCTCGCCCTCCATCCGGCCCCGCGCCGACACGCCCAATTGAGTGCGCAGGCCGATGCCGAGACGCTCCGCGGGCGCAAGACGCTTCCCCTCGGCACCGCGAGCTCACTGCCGCGGTTCTTGGAGCGCGCTTGTTTTTCGATACCTCCACGCCTCTCCCGAGGCTTCGCAAGCCTCCTCGAAGGCGCCAGCTCCCGCGTTGCTCTGCAGGGAACGACCGCGGAGCACGGACTTGAGGCCATAATGGCACGGAGCAGAGCGCACGCATCCGAGCGAGACGCACTGAGCTTTGCAATTGGAGCGTTCTCTAACGCTCGGCAATAACGCCCGTCACCGGGGACGCCATCCTTCATATGTCACCTCTGCGGGAGAACGCCAGGGGGGGACCGAGAGAGAGTCGGGCACCACTGAGCTGGAATCAGCGACACCTCGCAGAAAGTATCTGCGATTGCCCCCCGATAGCGAATCCGCACGCTCCTGGGCGGGGTGGCCTGTCGGGCTTCCCCCCCGCTTAGCGTTGCCGCTGACCCTCCCCATCCCCTCCCCCCCCTGGTAACGTCACGAGTCCCGCCAGCGCCGCCTCGGAGCAACTGGGGGTAGCGCCAGCGCGAATCGTGCCGTTACCGGCTCCCTGCCCCCCCCCTCCCGCCCGCCCCACCCTGGTGATCGCGAAGGTGTGCCACAAAACTGGCTGCTGTCACCGCGGCAGGCAATGGCCGAGGCGGAGGTTGCAAGAAGAATGGTATTGCAAGCTGGCTGTCCGAGTTTTACACCGCATGGGGTGGGCAGCGCGACTCAAGACGCGAGCGCGCGGCCGAATGCATGGTACGAGATCTTTCCACAACGGCCCAGTGAATACAGCCATTCCTGGCCCCTAGCCATGTATTACGTGTGCATGCTTTCTTTGAATATTGGCTGGTTGCGCGCGAGCTCATTTCCCCTATAAGAAATCCCGAAAAAAGACTTCGTCAAACCTCTTGTTCCCAACGCGCCCACGAGGGCCAAGTTTCACTATGCTAGCTTGCCCCGCTGACTCTTGCGAACTACTTTCGCCTACGACGCAGTCTGGACGCATACGCAGGGCCCCGTCGAATCGCACCAATGAGCAGGCCATGCACAGCACAAGCCAGGGCGACTTGTACCCCGATGTTGCCCCGCATTCCACATCGGTACGCGCGCATGCAGCGCACGCAAGAGCTTCTCGTGCATGGAGTCGCCCCGCAAGCCTCCACGACCGAGACCTCGATCGCCGGTAAGGCCTCGGACGTCAGCTGCCTCCGCCACTCCGGGGCGCCTGCAGGCCTACCCCGCAGCGGCACGGACGGCGGGTGTGACCGAAGGTCCGTCGCGACGAAGGCGGGCAGCGGACGCGCGCCGTTTACAGCCCACGCCTCAAAGCGCTCTCGAGCGCGCACGGGACCGAGCAGGGTGCGCCACGCGCCCTTGCTGAGGACGAGCTACCAAGATGAGCGCTCCTGCGCGGGCATGCGGGCGATGAACACCGCCGGCTTCAGGTCATCGGCAGCTGCGACTGCAGTGCCAGCCCGCTCGTGAGTCGCCAGCAAGCGGCGCACCCACTTGTTCGTCAAGTCGGCCTCCTCTAGCGCCCGCAGTGATGGCAGCGATGGCATCACTAGAAGAAGAAAAAGCGGCATAAACATATCTTTGGATCTCCAGCGCGGCCCTGGTGCACATGCGCCAGCAGCGCCTCCTGTGATGTGCAAGAGGGCGCCAGAGGCCCAAGCCGCGTCGTGCGGCATGATGAAGAAGGTTGTGCACCACCGTTCGCCGGAGGTTGTTCGTAAGAGGGCGAGGATGGCCATACAATTGTACAAGGCATCGTGCGGACACCGCCGCCCAGCGCCATCACACTAATGCAATCGGTCCCTGTTTGGAGGCGCAGCCTTGCACACTCAGACGCTTGAGTCAGAATGGCTATGGAGGCCCAGGGGGCCCCTTTGGGGCCCCCAAGGGGGCCACTTGAGGGTCCATTGAGGGCCCCAGGCCCCAGGGGACGCAGAAACGTGCATCTCACGTGCTCCTACTGTGGCCCTTAGGGCCTCTTTAGGGCTCCTGTACAGTCAACCCGTAGAATAAGAACGCACGAGAAGGATGAAAGGACCTCGGAAGGCCACGTCGACACTCTGCGGGCAGGGCGCGGCCAGCGAAAGCGGCCAAGGATGGGCCGAATGGGAAGAATGCAAGGATAGCCTTGGAAAGTTGTTCATCCTTCCTATGCGGGCTGACTGTAAACACACAATCTGAGTGCACTGGAAGATGTGAGTCGTCGACTTCTGGATTCAGCATAAGTGAATCCGAAAAGCCTGGAAAGTCCTCCAGGCTACGAGCTCTAGATGCGCAGAAGCGGATGAGAACAAGACTATGAAACAATAGCGAAACGTTGTAGAACAACCGTAGAGAGAGAGAGAGAGAGAGAGAGAGAGAGAGACGAGAAGGCAAGAGTAAACTGCTATATCGTCCTTCTGGGCCCAGCGCACGAAGGCCTCCCAAATGGGGTCCGCGTGGATGGGGTCGGAAGACCGCGCCGCACCACTGATGCATCGGCGATGCATCGGTGATGCATCGGCGACCTCGGCGATGCATCGACGGCGTCGGGGCTCGACCGCGACGACGACGACAAACGGGGACGACGACGACGACGGGCGACGACGACGTCGATGACGACCGCCCTCCGCCGTCCGCCGTCCGTCGTCGTCCGCCGTCCGCCGTCCGTCGTCCGTCGTCGTCGTCGTCCGCCATCCGTCGTCTTCGTCGTCCGCCGCCCGTCGTCGGCGACCGTCGCCGTCCGTCGTCGTCCGTCGTCCGCCGTCCGTCGTCGTCCGTCGCCCGCCGTCCGCCGCCGCCGTCCGCCGCCGCCGCCGCCCCGCTGCACGGCGCCCGACGGCCGCGCGCGGCACGCCCCGGTGGGCCTCCCGCCGCCGCCGCCGCCCGAGGGCGACGGCGCCCCGTGCCGGACGCCGCTGGGCCGGCGCGCGGCCGCGCCGCCGCCGCGGGCGCCGGGGGGCGGCGGCCGGGCGTCGGGCGGCCTCGGGGAGGGGAGGAGAGGAGGAGGGGAGGGGAGGAGGAGGAGGAGGAGGAGGAGGAGGAGGAGGAGGAGAGGAGGAGGAGGAGGGGGAGTAGCGGCTGCTGCTCCTGCTGCCCCGTTCTCAGCGCCCCTCGAACGGGGACTCCACTAACGGGTACTTTGGCCAGTGACCCAGCGGACCCAACCCTTCCCGATGTGGGCAAAGCTGCAGTGCAAGAAGAAGGCCCGAAAGTGGCAACTTTCGGCAAAAAATCAAAGTACCCGTTAGTAAGTACCCGTTACGGTGCCGTTGACGTTCCTTCTCCTTCTAGATAGCTCCTCCCTGTCGCACCCCGCGGCCAGTTCTTGTAGGGGCGGGCGCCGGGCGTCTCGCCCGAGACTTCCTCACCAGCTATGGCTCCGAAGCCTCAGAAATGACAAGGGTTTCACGGATGGAAGGCGGGTGGTTTTCAACATGTGGCTCTCGCCTGAGCGCCGCGCACAGTCGTTTAAAAAAAAAGCCAGGGTTTCACGGATTGAGGGCGGGTGGTTTTCAGAACGCGGCTCTCGCCTTAAGCCTTAAAGCCGCGCACATTCGTTTTTTATATAAAAGAGAGAGAACGTGCAAGGGTTTCACGGATTCCCATGCTCCACGCACCAGAAATAGCGTTTTGGAAGGATTCAGGATTATGCGGAGGCAACAGTTATGTTGATTCGCTGTGTTGAAGTGCCCAAGAACGGCGGTTTGGCACGATTTTGGATCGTCAAGACGCAGCAGTCAGGTTGATACGTGGCGTTGAAATCCCGAGAACAATGTTCTGGCACGCTTCAGGATCTTCAAACGGTTGTCTTCCAACGAGGCAGGTCCCTCAATGGAAATGCACCGTTGTAGGGGCTATGCTTGGAGGGAGGGCTAATTCCAAGATCGTTGATGACTCTTGGGTTTCCACTGCTCCTTCTCCTCCTTCTCCTCCTTCTCCTCCTCCTCCTCCTGCTTCTCCTCCTGCCGATCCTCCTCCTCCTCCTCCTGCTCCTCCTTCTCCTCCTCCTCCTGCTGCTCCTCCTCCTACTCCTGCGCCTGCTCCTGCTCTTCCTCCTCCTCCTCCTGCTCCTCCTCCTCTTCCTCCTCCTCCTCACTCCTCTTCCTCCCATGCTCCTCCTCCTCCTCCTCCTCCTCCTGCTCATCCCCTTCCTCCCTCTCCTCCCCCCCTCCTCCTCCCCTTTTCTCCTCCTCCTCCTCCTCTCTGCTCTCTCCTCCTCTCCTCCTCCTCTCCTCTCACTCCTCCTCTTCTCTCCTCCTCCTCCTCCTCCTCCTCTCCTCCTCCTCCCTCCTCCTCCTCCTCCTCCTCCTCTCCTCCTCCTCCTCCTCCTCCTCCTCCTCCTCCTCCTCCCCTCCTCCTCCTCCTCCTCCTCCTCCTCCTCCTTCTCCTCCTCCTCCTCCTCCTCCTCCTCCTCCTCCTCCTCATCATCATCATCATCATCATCATCATCATCATCATCATCGTCGTCAACATTATCAGCAGCAACATCATCAACGACATCAGCATCAGCATCAGCATCAGCATCAGCATCAGCATCGGCATCGGCATCACCACCACCACCATCATCGTCATCGGCATCCGCATCAACATCATCATCATCATCAGCATCATCATCATCATCATCATCATCATCATCAATTTCTACATCACTATCACCGTCATCATCATCATCAGCATCATCATCAAATACATAACCCTAATCATCAGCAGCATCATCATCGTCCCCACCATAATAATCTTCACCCACACCATTATCATCATCATCAGCATCATCATGATCCGCACCATCACCCACATTATCATATGTAGCAGCATCATCGGTAGCATAATCATCAGTACCACCATCAGCACCGCCAACATCATCACCAGTATCATTATCATCAGTTTGACCATCATCAACATCATCATCAGCATCATCATCATCAGTATCAGCTCCATCACCATCAGCATCACCATCGCCAGCATCATCACCATCACCATCACCATCACCATCACCATCACCATTTCCATCGTCATCATCACCATCAGAAACATCAGCATTATCACCATCATCATCATCATCAGCATCAGCATCAGCATCAGCATCAGCATCATCATCATCATCATCATCATCATAATAATCGTGGCTGGCGTCGTCGTCGTAATCCTGCTCGTCTTCCTCTTCCTCCTCCTCCTTCCTCCCCCGCTTCCTCCTCATCAACATTACATCTATGGTTCCTGATCCTCCCCGTCCTCCTCCCCATCATTTTCCTCATCCCCCTCCCTATTGAATAATTTGCTGGTAACGTGAAGGCCCCGTACACGGGATCTCAATTTGCATCCTCTCTGCCCATGCGGTGACTAAAGCTGCGCATGGTTAACATAAGCACGGCAGGATGAGGAATCAAGCAACAGGGAGGTACAGATGACGGCCACAATGGGTTCGGCAGTGGAGCAGAGCTGACACAGAGCAGCGCAGAGGAAGGCATGGCAGCGAATGAGGGGGAGCAACAAGCAGTGGGGGAGGGGGCGTGAACGGCGGGGAGGGCCAGCAGCAGACAGCGCAACAGCAGATGGGGACTGGAGGCAAGAAAACTCCGGTCTTCGGTCTTGTGCGCAGTGCATTCAGCCGGCATCGGCACGGAACGGGTCGTCGCACTCGGCCTCCCCCCATCCCTCCATTCCTCCCTCCACCTCTCCCTCCATTTCTCCCTCCATTGCCTCCTTTCGAGCACCATCTGCCAACGGTTGCAGCCGCCGCGGATGCTCCCCCGCAGGCAGGGGACAACGTCCGAGACTGCCCACCTACATGTTTTGGGAGCTGGCGCAAGCGATCTGCGTGCCACACGGGCTGCGGTGTCGGAGCCGCCCGCCTTCGGCGTCTGGGATGGTTCCTCCATTAGCCTGCCAGCGATTCAGCGAGCTCTGCAACATATTATCAGCAGAACATGCAGTGTGGTCGCTGGACGTCTGTCGATGTATGTGTTGTTTGGCGTCTCCCGCCACCCGCAGCTCCCGCTGCCATCTATCGTCTTCTCGCACGTGCCGGTGCAGAGGGTACCTCACCGAAAGGTCATGATGCTGACTGGGGGCGGGCCAGCATACTCTGTCCACTCCCTTGTTGCTCCTGCCTCGGGCTGGCATTTTTCCAGAGAAACTCAGCGACGAAGGGACGGGCAGCAGGGAGGATATCAAGAACCAATCAAGCGGCATCAGGGGGAGAGGGGTAACGGAGCAGAGAAGAAGATCATGCGGTCAAGGGGTCGGCGTGGACGAATATGGCACAGGACGGTGCGGAGTAGGAGGGTGCGGAGGGGCGAGATCGATGCAGACAGGCAGCGCAAGATGGAGGATATCGAGATCAAGAACGGAATAGAAGATCAAGCGGCCAAGGACCAGACCTCACGCATCAATCAAGGGGGACCGATGGGCACAGGCGTGGAGGCGAGCGCAGCAGGACGTGGCGGAAGCACGAAGAGCAGAACAGGCGGAGGGGAAAGACAAGGGAATGAAACAAAGGGTTAGGTCGGGCACGCCCCCCCTACGGTCGGACCTTGGAAGAGAAACGAACACGTAAGCAACATATGCTCTCACACACCGTCAACCACGGGCGAAACATCGTCCCCGGACTATGCTTTGACTGTTCGGCGCACTCTTGATGTAGAGGGACACGCCCGACTCAAAAGAGGGGGAGGCGGGGAAGCCAGGCGCGCCCCGCCGCGTGCCCCCCGGGCCCGGGCCCGGAGAGGGCCGCCTGGACGCGCTGGCTCGCCCTGCC